TGTGCTCTCCCCTAACTTTTCTTTTGCTCATTGTTCATCTGTCATTTCTGGCTTCTCTGCCCCTCCAGTGCTAAAAGAGGCCTTGTCACCTTCACCTGTCACAGGGGTGGGGATTTACAAGAGACTATATACATACCTAATCTGGATATACGTGTATACAGATACTTATCCTTATGTTTGCATTTTAACATAGTGTGTGTATATTTTACACACACACACACCAACACATATCAGGAAAAATTTTCATTGACTTATTTGGCTGTGAGCTTCTCTTTAACATACAAAAGAAGATGCTTGTTTCTTTTGACTTTTTTGCCCCCTAATTCAAATACCAAATTGTTCTTATTATTGCCCCAAGAGGGGGTATATTCTTTGAGGTGGGGGGTAGGAGGCAGAGATAAAGAGAAAGAGAGCCGAGCTCTTCAAGGGTAAGGGGGGGGGGAAGGAAAAAAAACTGTCTGGGAATCTCAAGAACATCTTTATTTCGCCTTTTAACTCTCCGCCTTTCTGATTAAAGAGTTCAGACCCGCTCCCCCCGCCCGCGTTCAATTATCCCCCAGCATCTTTTCTCTAAAGCTGTCACCACCACTTGCTGAACCGCAGCCCCATCGTGAGCCATTAGCCCAGTTCTTTTCCGTTTCGCTTTTCTTTCCTCAGTTTCTCCCTGCAAGCTTTATAAATCTCCCTTGGAGGAGGAGTGTCCAAGCGGGTGGAAGTCTGAACACAATGCAACCTGAGAATTTCTGTCACTCTCTGCATATGCTCCTAAGTGCTTTAATCCCAATTAGGGGCGGCTGACACACGGTCCTATTCATTCCCATCAGCTCTTGAATACATTTGCCTAGAAATGAACTTCACAAATAGAGGCGCTCCTAAATGTGCCCAACAGCAAGGAAAATCGAATTGAGTGCGGGCTTATTCGGCAGCGGCAGGCAGAGGAACGTTGAATGTGAAGGTGCCCTGAGACATTGCAATTCAGCAACACGCTCGCTGACTTTTCTTTGCATCATGTCAACCGAAAGAACCAAGAAATAAGTTGGGGAACTCCGGTTAAAAGGCAACTTGAGAGGGACTCTGAATACTTTTATTGAGCCGCTTCCAAGGAAGGACTTAAACAACAAAAAAAGGCACCACAAAACCCACCAGCGGCGTCCAGGCTGCGTCCTAGCCGCGCGTTTGGAGCCTCCCGGCCGCCGCGCACCCACTGGCCTCGCAATTAAGAAGAAAATGGCCCCGTTGCCGGCGTGTCATCTGGTGGCGTTCCCAGAGCCCGTCGCCGCCGCCCTATTCAGACCAGGCCTTAATGTCCCACCCGCGCCTAGGGGGCCGCGCAGCTGGTCCGCGTTGACCCGGCGACCCTGCCCGCACGGACACCCTCGGGGGGCGCGGCCCGGGCCACCTCAGGCCCCAACTGGGCCGTGTCTCCAGGCCTCCCCTGCGGTCTCTGACCCCACGCGGCTCCCTCCATCCCGGGGTTCGGGACACTACGCACGGCCTGGGGGGAAGGGGTTCGTGACGCTCCAACACCCCTGTCCTCAAGTCCGAGGGCTACGGCGGCAGCCAACTCGGCCCCCCTGGGGACCTGAAGTCCAAAGCTTTGCGTCCCGGAGACCGGCATCTCTGGAATAGAGTGTTCCTAAAGGAGCCGCTGATCGCCGCCCCGAAGTTCCTATGGGGATTTTTTTTCTCTCCCTCAAGGCGGAGCCCCATCAAGTCACACATGCGCGGCGCGGGCAGCATTTGGAGCCCGGCGCTGGGACACAGCCAGGCGCGGGCCGGGGCCGCCCCTTAAGACAGCGGGGCCTGCAGCAGCGCTGCTGTGAGACTGCGCCCGCTGCCCACCGCTGCGCTGGCTGCTGCTCCCGACCGTTCAGCCTCATTGGGGCAACCTGTTACAGAGCGGGAGCCGTGCCTGCGTGGTACCGCGGCAGGCCCCGAGCAGGGCAGCCCCTGAAACCGCCTCGCCCCGCACCTCGGTGCAGAAGGGATTTCGCTTTAACGGGGCCTCTGGACCCCCATTTTAAGTCCATAAAAGCCGAGTGGAATGTTTTGATTGAGTCTCAACATTGTCTTTGAATAAGGCTGAGACCATGTAATTAATGTGTCTTTTTAATAAGGGACAATACGGTCGTTCAAGCTATTTAATTTCATTTAATTTTCCATCCCATTTGCTGCACAGCCCGCTTTTACTTTTAACACCCAGCCTTTCACGGCCCATCTTGCTCCAGTGGGCACATTAGATTGGTTTCACCCTTGCTTTTTAGGGGAGGAAAAATAAAAGAAAATGTGTTCCTTTCCTCCTTTGTGGACAATTTATTTCACTTGGGGAACTTCAACTCTGAGCCACAGGACAGAATAAAACTCGGCGAGCTGGTGTGAATGCCTCTGGCGCAGTCCCTTTCTTCTCGCGGGGCTGGGAACCAGCCACAATTGGCTATATTAATAAATAACTTTCCTCACAGTCGGCCTTTACATGGTCCTATTGATAAAATTGTTCGCGTGTCGTTCACGCTTTTTCACTCATTAAGGAGGACCAGGGAGGAGCCCCGAACCGAGGCCCCGCGCTCGCCCCTTCCCGCTCACAGGGCTGGTAATTTAAACTGGGTGTCATCCCGGAGTCGCCAGGCCAGAGGTTAGAGGGACATGTTCATGGCTTAAATTTATTGCCCTCGACTCTTCGGAGCGGCTTCCTCTCCTCCTCCCCTCCCCCGGCTTTTGCCATTCATGGGTCGCGGGATCAAAGGCTCCCTCCTCACTGTCGCGGCAGGCTTCACTTCACAGCACGCAGAGAGGCAATTGGAAAGGTAAGAGGAAAAATCAGTGGCAGTTCCCTCAGAAAGGGGCCCTGGGCAAGGCGTGGCTGCACCGTCAGAGGAACCGCAGCGCATGGCCGCCCAGACCCGCCGAGAGGTTCTCTTTTTGGATCCAGCAACTGCGTCTACACAGGCTTTGGAGTTAGCACCGAGGTCGCCTATCTAAATATGTGTCACCGCACAGTCTCACATGAGATGCTTCGACTTGAGACCCTAGACCTGCCCTAGATCCCCCCATTAAGCAAACCACGAGTTTTGGAGCTCCCCAAACCCTACAGATCATTGCTATTGACCTTTGCAACAAACCCGGGTGACACGTGAGGTGGAAGCCAGCGGTATGTTTGTAATCATCATTCCCATTTTAGGGATTAGGAGACTGAGGCTTTGAAGCGATTTACCTAAGGTTGCCCGAGTCTTGAGTGACAGCACAGACTGAATGATTCTCGAGTCTCCCGACAGTGTCCAGTAGGCGAACGCGGGTCTCCATCGAGGGGTGCCACACAGAACTTCTTTGAGGGCCTCGTGGGACAAAGTGCTGAGTTACATGTGTCGCCACCTTGCGCCGTTGTTAATGAGTCACCCTGTCCGTGGCCTAAGAACAGCACCTTCCGTGGGCAAAGCAGAACAGACTGGAGAATTCCATGTGGCGGCTGCTGAGAGTCCTCTGCCCATTTGTACAGAGGTTGGGCCACCGACACCAGGCCAGAAACCCAAAGTCACTCAGTCCTCTCCAGGAATTCCGCGACGGGCTCGTGTCCAAGTCCATAGGATTTGGGGAGCAGTGCCCCGGATTAACAGAGTGTGGCAGGTGTGGGCAGAACTGTCACAGATATCTGATGAACTGGATTACTCGGCTATGTATTACGAAAATAAATGTCCCCACACAAATAGGAGGTTTCCCTAAAAGAAAACGAGGAGCACTCTGATTTAACTCCGAAGTACCTGTTCTGCTAGTTCATGAACTGGACTAAAGGCAGGGGTTGCCAAAGCCCACCTCCACTCGACCTTCGCTCCCTCCCCCACCTTTGATAAGTTGTTTTTTTTTTAAAAAAACTAAAGTACAGTTTGTTGGTTCTCAGGAAGGTAGCTCCAAAGACTTCTTCCCGTTTTAAACTTAAACGCAAATCAGGGTTTGGGGCGGTTGGTTGGCATGTTGGGGAGATGTAATGAAAAACCCAGGAGGCAGAACCTCTCTTCTCCCTCGGGTGTGGCAGGGCATGGGATATCCCGCAAAGCCGCGGCTCTGCGGCCACTTCCCACTCTCCAGAGAAAGTGCGGGTCACGGGTGTACCCGAGAGCAGTGATGCACAGATGACCTCGTCTCCCCAAACTGGTCCAGACGCTTCATATTTCGGGGCGAAACTGAAGAGAACCATAAAACGGTTCTAAATAGACCACTGGCCTGGACCCAATCCCCTGAAATGGTAATATGGTCGTCATTTAAAAAGTGTAGGTATTTTCTGGTGTTTTCCCATCAAGTACCTGCCTAATTTCTGTATGGCACACGCCAGAAATCAATAGAAGTTAACAAGTCCTCCAAACAGTCCCCATCTCTTTGTTTAATCTCCTTTACAATAAAGCCAAGGGGAGAGAATTAAAAATCTTTGAAGTAGATCAAGGCTCAAAAGAATCAGCCAAGTAGACTTAAAGTAGTCACTTATTTCCCAAAACTGGTTTGTCTGAGAACAATAAAAGGAAGTAAAATTTATGGAGAAATTATACAGTGGATTTGTCACTTAAAATATCGTAACTGTCTCGAGGACAATACCCCATGCTGAGGATTAATGGTCCCGCCGGACCTTTGATTCACCATCGCCTTTTCTTCGCCCTTGACAAATTGGATTTTTAGGAATGGGAAGGTCGCCGGGACCATTGTGCGCCAGCCATTCAGAGCCCTCGATTATGCAGGGGGCTGAGGGAACCACTCCATGTGACCCTCTCGGGTGGGACTCTGCAGCTGCTCCGCAGCGCAACTCTCTCACCAAACTCCGCGCCCTTGCGCTAACAGTGCCAAAAGGCGCCCGCCCTGATTGAAAAGGCGCAGTGCATGCCCCGCCGCGTCACTCCGCGGGCGGAGGACGCACGTCGGGGCGCGGCTCCCTGGCTCGCGCGCGACTCCGGTTCTGTTGCTCGCGCCCTGCGGAGGACCCCGCGCAACCAAGAGCCTGCCTGGCGGCTGCGGCAGCAATGCACGGAGCCGCCCGCGCTCCAGCCACCAGTGTGAGTGCCGACTGCTGCATCCCGGCAGGCCTGCGCCTCGGGCCGGTGCCTGGAACTTTCAAGCTGGGCAAGTACCTGTCAGACCGCAGGGAACCCGGGCCCAAGAAAAAGGTATTAGCCTTTCCAACCTCTGCCCCGTGTCGTTCGCCTCCCTTTTCCCTGGCTCAGGAAACTGGTAAATAGGGCAAGTGGAGGAAAGGGGTGATTGAGTCGTTACCTGCTAACTCTGCCAGGTGGAAGCGAACTTCGATTATTCCCTGCAAGTCGCATTAACTGAACACTGGACGTGGGCCGCCAGACTGAGGGAAGAGGATGTGGCTGAGAGCGGACAGCCCCCGGGTGGGGTGCACGGGCTGTTTGCGTGCCGGGACCACTTGGAACCCGCGGTTTCCCGCGGCTCTGGGGTCTCCGCAGAGGCGCGGGTGCTCCCAGCCTCTCTCCACAAATGCGCCTTTCCTCCGTTTTGCAATACTCAGGGCATTGAGGACGTTTCTTCCCTTCTTCCCTTCAATATGCTAATTTGAGGCTTAATTTATCTTAGAATAATGTAATCTCATCTATTCCGAAAAAACAATCCTTGAGAAACTCTCAGTTCCTAGAACCTCCCCCAATTTTTCTTTCCGCGGATGTCAACTTTGTGGGTTTGACGCTCATACAGCGTCAAAGCGGGGATTCCAACCTTTCCTCTCAGTTGATTTTTGGGGTAAATGGAGAGAGGGTGAGCCAGGTGATTGCTCTGACGCGGGCTTCAAAGGCGAGGAGCGCCCATCCGCGTGGGTCACCGCATGCGGCCGGGCTTTGAGAGCCCAGGGTCGCAACTGGGAGGGGTCAAGTCCAACCCGCCAGCTCTGACTCCCCAAACAGTGTCGCGACCTGACCAGAGAGGAGTTTGGTAGGCCCCCGCCCTCCTTCAGGCATGCCAACCGGCAAAGGTCGGCGAATAACCACCGAGAAATGAAGGCGGCGGCGGCGGTGGTAGTGTGTGTGTGTGTGTGTGGGGGGGAGATGACCCAAGCTTTGGCTTGCGGCTGCCTAGAGTTTTCTTGTATGAAATCGCGCGGGTGCACAGCCTGCGGGATCCGCATCTGGCTGCTCATGTGATCATCTCCGCGGACTAAAGCCGAGTTTGCCACGCACTGCGCCTTCTTCTTTAAATGCACTTTAATTGCTTTTAAATGGCCGGCCAGCGTGCGGTCACTTTCTTCAAACACTTTCACTGCCGGGCTCGCCTGCACCTCCGCACGGTGCAGCGAGAATGAGGGGACACGAGAGAAAGTGGGGACACTGGGTTCAGGGACTGACTTCGAAACGTCACTACCCTGGTAATTGGGCTGTTCTCGGCGCCGCAAGAGGGAGAACTGGGGTGGGAGTGGGGAACACCTTCGTACAAAATGCGCCCAGGTCCTGGGGGGTGGTAATGCCCTCACCCCTCGTGTTGCCAAGGTGGGGCTGGGTGGGGACTGTTAGCCAGTCTCCCCTCTTCCTTCCTCTCCCAAGCAAATGGTCCTAAGGAATTACCCTCCTCCCAGCAGTCCACAGCCAACACAACCAGTTTCCTGAATCGGATGCGGTGCAGAATAACGTTCCTTCTGGGCTGTGGGCCTGTCTGTGGCGTGGGGAGAACGATCACTGCTTGTGTTGCAGGTGCGCATGGTGAGAGGGGAGCTGGTGGACGAGTCGGGGGGCTCCCCTCTGGAGTGGATAGGGTTAATCCGGGCAGCCAGGAACCCTCAGGAACAGACTTTGGAAGCTATTGCAGACTTACCTGGAGGACAGGTACTGTGGGCTTCTTCCCTACTGCTAATTCTATCTACCTAACCGTCAGTGAGGTGGCCACCAATATTAAGAGCAAAGTGCTTTAGCTACAGTCTCATTTAAACATCCCAACAACCCTGTAAGGTAGATGCTATTATTTTCCATTTGAAGAATGCAGGAAATGAGATTCAGAGAGGTCCAATAGCTTTTCCAATGTCACACAGCATCAGAACGGGGATTCCAACCTTTTCTCTCAGTTGTTTTTTGACCAATTACTCAAGAAATGACAGCAAGCTGTCCTGTTCCTTGCATCCCAGATCTTCTACCGAGCGCTGCGAGACGTCCAGCCAGGGGAGGAGCTGACCGTGTGGTATTCCAACTCCTTGGCTCAGTGGTTTGACATCCCCACAATTGCAACTCCTACGCACGACGAGAAAGGTACCGCCTCCTCTGAGAGGGCTTCCTGGCCAGCGCGGGTGGACGAGAGTCCAGCCCTCCTCTGGTTTTTGGGCAAGTCCCCAGACTTGAAAAGCCTTTCTCTTGCCCTGTGTAAAACTGAATTCACACTCCCAGGATGTGTGGGCAGAGAGGCGATGTCACCACTACCTCCTTAAAATCAACAGTGATAAGTGACAATAATAATCTAGCTCTAGGTGGCAAGGAAAAAATACTCTTTATGAACTTCATGGGGGGTCATTTCTTATTGCATACCCAAAGACACAATTATTTACTTGATTAAGAATCAATGAAGAAGCCTTAAAATATTAATCACATCATGAGCACCAGAAAGCGTAACAAACCTGGAATACTTCTAGGTGGAGGGCATCTCTTTCCCACTGGTTTGAAGGAGCGTAATGTATTTCTACAGTATTTTAGAAGCATTACGGTACTTACTGCTGGTCAGTTGGCTGGTTGTGAGGCCCTTCCATTTAAATGGTATTTATTCATTTCCCCCTCCTGACTTAAATTGAATTTGGGATGTATCCCAGTTTCTTAGATTTATTTGATCCCTTCCAAAGCCAAGAGCGGATTTATGCAAATTAAGGTGCACTAACTAAAGGGCAAAAAACATTTTCAAACCTTTCCTAGAACATTGAAGAACACTTCCTGTGGAAAAAGCTGGGAGGTGCTAAAGTAGTTAAGATCATGACACTCCCTTTTAATGCACAAACCTTCCATGACTTTTTTTTTCATTGCCAATTGTTTATTTGTATTTTCCCCTGAAGACACAGTTAATATTTAAAGTCAATATAATAAATGCTGTAAAGTATTTTCCCATGTTCTTCCCTAAATTGCCTGCTCAATCTCATCCCTTTATAAATAGGGTTAAAAAAATAATACAAAGGTGAGAATTGAATACCCATAAGACAGAATGAAGTTTATTCAGAACAATGAATCACTTCACTTCAAAGTATCATTGTTTTCTGTAAATTATTTCTATTGATTTTTGTGGAATTGTATGTATAGTATTCATAAAAATTATCCTTGTATCACAATTATATTAAATTCTCTTGTCAACTTCTTCCAGTAAAAAAGAAACATGACAAAAACCCGGATAGTGGAGAACTCTCAAACCTGCCATTACAGAACAATTCCAAGGGCTACTTACTGGCCTTTAGGGGTAGGCATTTCTGCACAGAACACTGTTCCTTTGGCACTCTCAAATAATATAAAGGCAACTGGTTTGAGTGGTGGCCCTTGTGTTTTCATTTCAGCCAACAGAATTTATAAACATCATATGGTAACAGATGTCAAAATAGACACCATTTTCCTTTTGGGGGCTGTATGGATTATTTTGAATCCTGACTTTCCCACCTTTGAGATGCTTGAGATCTAGACAACTTTAGGGTTACATGAAGGAGAGGAGAAGAACTCACTTATGAAGTATGTTGATACTTTTGGCATAGGTTGGATTTCAGAGTCCAGAGAACATGTCAGTTGGTTAGGATAATTTGAAAAAGAAACATATGGGAATTGAAAACATCTATCTAATGTATGTTTAAATCTTGAAAAGAGGAAGAAATAAGTAGGAATGGCTGCTATTCTTCCAATATTCACGAATTCTGGTGGATTTCAATTCTGTAGTAAGGTTAAGTAAAATACTGACCCTTTGTTTTAGAAACAAAGCTTACTTGGCTTTGCATTGAGCTAAGTCATTCTGGGCAACCTCTGAGAACTCCCTTTAAAAAGGGGTGATGAGAGGGAGGTTCTGAATTTAGGAGAAGGAAGCTTATTTAAGATATTAAATCAGCATACACACTCAGAGAACCCAGGAGGTCTCTTCTCTCTTTTCAAGATTTTACATGGCTGTTGAATATAAGGTAACAGAAATATTAAAATGATTTTATCCAAATCTTCCAAAAACAATTAGGATATGGTCTCATAGACAAACCCTCCCCATTTTTTTCTTTCTGCTCTCCCCATGGCTTCAGCTGGAAGAAACAGCTCCTTACTTGAACTTCCACCTTAGTTATCTGGGGGGTACTATTTGCTTTATTTGAAGCCAGAAGTAAAATACATGAAGGGAGAAAGATCTGCATTTTTTCCCCATTGTTGTTCTGTAGTAATGTTCTAGAAGTTTGAGCTGTTTGTGTGCAAGGAGGGAAAATTTAGCATTTACATTAAATTTAATAAGACTGACATATGCTTTGGATACTTCCTTGTGGCTCAATTAACTTCTTTTTCACAGAAATTCTTCCTTTCTGTATTATCAATAAACCACGACATTTAAAAAGACACCCACTTGCAAATCGCTGTTCTCTGTACAGACGTAACAGGACCTGTTACTCTGTTTCATACAGATTCTGATCACATGGTGGAAGATGTTTCATTCTAGACATGTTTCATACATATGTCTCTTGATTGTGTTCACAGGCGGTGACAAAATTAAAAACAATGTTAATAATATTAAACATGAAAAAAGATTTGACACCAAAAAACACCTATATAGTTCCTGGTAGAGAACAGTGCACTTATTAAAAGCTGAGTATCTACGTATATCTATATCACTTACATATATTTATGTGATAAAAATAAACTATATATCTTTCCCAAGGACTTTACAAAGCTTGGATTTGTGCAGCTATCTGGGAGTTAATTAGTTACCAGGTGGAAAAACTAACAAGATAATGAAACATCATCCTTCAGTTTTTAGAATATCAGGGCATAGGACTTTTTCTTTTCTCCCATCAAATTAAATGAGGTTAAAGAGGAAATAAAGATACAACTAATTTTGAAGAATAGCAAATCATAGTCCCTATGTGGTCCTTCAGTTGGTCACGCTCCAGGAAAACCTCAGGCAAAGTGTTTAAGTCTGGGAGGGGTTGGAAAGATGGGTAGTGGACATAAAAGACACTGTTCTATGAAAAGGAATGATTACATATGGCCCATACATACAGGATATTGTCTCGCCTGGTAATGAGGAGCTCAAGACCATTAGATTGGCCTTTGTTCAGTTTATCCAAACTCTTTGACATACGCCACCTATTCTGCAAACGCCAACAGATGGGCCCGGGCACAGCACAGCCTCAACATTTGATTTAGAGCAACAGCTGCTCTCTGCTCTCATCTTTTCCCTGGCCAGCCTGTCTGAGCTCTCCCTCCCAACGAAGATTTGCTCGTATGGCCTGGAGGAAGTCTTCGTTGGAGAGGCCTATATCACCCCTCTTGGCTTATAAGTAGTCCCAGAGGATGGAAATGGTGATAAAGTTGGCCATTTGGGGACTTCTCAGGGTCTATGCTACAGTGGGGCTACCGGACTCAATTATTCGCCTGGACCCAAGAATACTCCTGCTTCTATCCACACCGCCGGTCAAAACCTGGGCTTTGCCTTAGGTGCGCTGGCGCTTTCTTTCTCTCTTGCTTGTTCACCTCTCACGAGGTCGCTTTTCTACTCTTTCTCGCCTAGGGGAGGAGCGCTACATATGCTGGTACTGCTGGAGGACGTTTAGATACCCCAACAGCCTTAAGGCGCACCTACGTTTCCACTGTGTACTCAGTAGCCGCGCGGGCCGCGCCTACCTGCACCATGAGCACGGGGCTCGTCAAGTCGCTGTCCCGGCTGCGGATGGCCTTCGCCTCTCTCCGAAATCCCAGGTGCCCGACTTCGCCGCGGCCGCCCGGGTGGGCACTCTGCGACCCCACCCGCAGTCCCCGCCTCCTGTCCAGGCCTGCGGAGCGAGGGAGAGCATCAAGCGGGAGGCCTCTGCGCCATCGGCCACCTCGCCGCCCCCGGCCAAGTGGGGGCCGTCCAAAAAGGGCAAGGAGCACCCGGACCGAGCCCTGGACATAAGCGGGGCCGCCGGGGGACAAGGCCACTTCCTTGGCATCGTGGGCGGCTCCCCAGTGGGGGGCGGCGGCCTGGCCTTCTACCCCGGCGTGCGCTCAGCTTTCAAGCCCGCCAGCTTGGCCAGGGCGGCCGCGCATGGTGACCCCTACCGTGAGGAGGGCGGTGGCAAGCCTGGGGCTGGCCTGGCCTTAGGCAGGCTGCTGGGAGGGAGTCGTGCAGAAGGGCGCCCAGGAAGCGGGGAGAACCTGGCGGCGGGCGGCGCAGGCCACCACCATCACCACCACGCGCACCATCACCACCACCATCACCACCATCCCAAGTGCCTGCTTGCGGGGGACCCGCCACCGCCGCCCGGCTTGCCCTGCTCGGGGGCCCTGCGGGGCTTCCCTCTGCTCCCGGGGCCCGTGGAAGAGGCGTCCGCCTTCAGGCACGTGGAGCGCTCCCCGCCCGCCGCCGCCGCCGCCGCCGCCGCCTCCTTGCCCCGAGCGCGTTACCAGCAGCTGCCTCCCGCAACCGGGCTGCCCCTGGAGCGCTGCGCACTGCCGGCCCTCGACGCAGGCGGGCTCAAAGCCTACCCGGGTGGCGAGTGCAGCCACCTGCCCGCCGTCATGCCAGCCTTTACCGTCTACAACGGGGAGCTACTCTACGGCTCACCGGGCGCTGCAGCTTATTATCCTCTTAAACTGCACTTCGGCGGGCTGCTCAAGTATCCGGAGTCCATCTCCTACTTCAGTGGGCCCACGGCGGCGGCGGCCGCTCTAAGCCCCGCCGAGCTGGGCTCTCTGGCTAGCATCGACCGAGAGATCGCCATGCACACGCAGCAGCTCTCCGAGATGGCGTCCGGGAAAGGCCGCGGCCGCCTGGACGCCGGGGCGCTGCCACCGGGCGTCGTGGCATCCGGTGGCGCGGGGGTTGGTGGCAGCGGCGGCGGCGGCGCGGGCAAGCCCAAGACGGGCCACTTGTGCCTCTACTGCGGCAAGCTGTACTCGCGCAAGTATGGGCTCAAGATCCACATGCGGACACACACCGGCTACAAGCCCCTCAAGTGCAAAGTGTGCCTGCGGCCCTTTGGCGACCCCAGCAACCTCAACAAGCACATCCGCCTGCACGCCGAGGGCAACACGCCCTACCGCTGCGAGTTCTGCGGCAAGGTGCTGGTGCGCCGCCGGGACCTGGAGCGCCACGTCAAGTCCCGCCACCCCGGCCAGAGCCTACTAGCCAAGGCGGGCGACGGTCCGGGTGCGGAGCCTGACTACCCCCCGGAGCCTGGGGAGCCCAAGAGTGACAACGACAGCGATGTGGACGTCTGCTTCACGGACGACCAGAGCGACCCTGAGGCCGGGGGCAGCGGCGAGCGCGACTCTTAACGAAGGAAAAGGGTGGAGGTGGGAGGTGTGGACAGCGAGAAGTGGAGGTTCCGCTCTGGGAGAAGAGGAGCTCCTGGTGGTGAGGACTCAGTTGGCCAAACCGTTTTTATTTTGGTGGAGCGCCAGATTTTGGAACAGTGGAGGGGTATCAGGCACGATGCTGAAACTCAGAGCAAAGGTTTAGAAGTGACTTGAAACCTGGCCTAGGCAGTCTTCGGGGATGGGACCGACCCCGCTCTCCAGGCCTCTGGACTCTGCGGATGGGTTTACCTCCAACCGCCCAGGACGTCAGCTCTCCAGTTTAGGATCACGTAATGTGAACCTCCCGGCGCCCTTGAGGGCGCCGATTTCAACTGCCACGTATTTTTAAAATTGTTCTTTTCTGTGGAGGAAATTGTGCCTTTTGAACTGATGTTTTTGTGTGTGTATTTTACATTAGCATTTCACTGCATAGGCAAAACAGTAGTCACAATTGGGTAGATGTGGCATCCATACACTTGTTTCCATTTCACCTGCTCCGTCCAAGACTACTCTTTGCCGCATTGAATATAGTGGTAGCAGGTGTATGAATTGGTCAAATTGCAATTATTTATAAGAGAATAATGAGAAATGTAAAATATCTAAAGCATGAATTTAAGAGCACGCAATATATAATTTTAAAGAAAATGTCCTATTTGGTAGAGTACAAATGTGATGTATGTTGTTTTATAATGAATGATGTACAGTGGATTCAGTATTTTGGTCTTGGTTCCAGTTTGTGCAATCTTTAATAAAAGTAAAGATACAAAAGAGAATTGTTCATTTAATTTCAGCAGATTCTTTAAAGAAACAGTTTAATTTGAAAACGATTTTCGAGGAGACTCCATAATAAAATAAATCATAGGACACTTGAGTACTTTGATTATTCATAAAATAAATAAATAGTGTTGTAATAGGGAAATATACCATTTCCAATCTGTGCATTTCATAGGCTCGTAGATAGTAGGCAGAGCAATTGTTTTCTGAAATCATTGTTAATCATGCTGTTTTTGTGTTTATTGAAAGAAGCTAATGACTTTCAACAAAAACACACATTTCTTGTCAAAAAAGATTATGGAACTGTAAAATTGTGATTTCTTATGTATCATTTTGCTTGGGAAGCAAAAAAAAAGGAAACTTGCAAATGCTTTTTATGATGCATACACTTTAATATTCATTCAACAAACGCTAAAAGAGGATCTATTTTTATTGGAGGCGCTGAATCTATTTGCTCTATGTAGGTTCTTTTTTCCACATACTCTTTCCAACAATCTTGTGCTGTCAGTATGGGTCCTGTTTTTAAGAAGAGAAAATATACACTTCAAAGTCACTGGGAGGCCAATAATTAGAACAGAAAGTTAGAAGCAGTGACTTTATGTAAGGGTTTAAAAATAAATGCTAGCTAATAGCGTTTATTAAGATAAAGAATATAATTTTGTGGGCTAAAATTGAAAACTGCCTTTTTTTCCCCCTCTCCTCCCCCAGCACACACACACTGTGAGGAGGAGGATTTCACTGCAGTTATTTAAGAAGCAGAGCATTAGTCATACCCTCAGCTAAGGGCAGGTCTGCAGTGCTCTTCCCCCAGGTTGGTGGAAGATAGCTGGTCATCAAAAGGTCTGGATATGCCCCTGATGATTTAACTCAGTTAAAAATGCCCTTCATTTTCAGAACCCTGATTACTGGAGCAGTTCACCCTGCTGCCTCCCAGTTGAGAACATGACCTCAGCCATTGGGTGGCTGGCAGGGACCTTTTTTGTCCTACCAGCAGGAAGCATGAGGAACATCTGACTTGGTGGTGATCAGGAAAAAGATTTCTTCTATAAGAAAACTTTTGCTGGGGAATTATAAGATTTTTTTAAGGGTCACATGACCAGAAAATGCTTTCTAAAAGAAAGCCCAAAGAGAAACAAAAATGATGTGTGGATTAACATGTACATATGGTGACAATGACACTACATTTATTGAGGACCTACTCTGTGCCAGCTCCTTATGCTATTTGCAGTTCTTCTCCACAGATGATGACTGTGGGCTTGCCCCACTATGTTCAGTGATGGCCCTGCCACACACAAATGGAAGTGAACCCGAGCATCTGCCTGGTTAGCCTGGGCTCCAGCAGCTTCTCACTGCTTGCTCAGTATCATGGTCCTGTCCTTTGAAGCAATTATTACTTGAAACCAAATCCACCACTATAGAGAAATATTGGAAAATTTTTCTGAAATCAGATAGTGTAAGTCCTCAGGGGAATTGAGAAAGGCTGCCCAGATTTGAAACATAGGAAAACTTTTATCAGCTTTAAAAATCATGTTTTCTTCTCCCATTCTCTAGCTCAGTACTAAGACCTATAACCCTTGTTATTTTGTGTGAAAATAGTCTTTAAAGAACTAAATTAAAAGCAATTTGGTGAAAGGCAGTACATTCAAAATTTATAAAGATTTAATAAAACAAACACTTTAGCCTTCTGTTTTCCCCTTTGTAAATTGATATCCACATGTTATAAAAATGAAAATTGAACATAGAAAAGGCTCTTAATCTCAGATCATTTGCAATTCTTCATTGGTTGCCTCAGATAACCTGTATGTGTGTCCATGGATGTGCACACTCTCATACATAATCAATGCAATTATTTATTTTAATGGTGAAGTCCATTCAGTGATATATTGGGTGGTCGGAAAAGTCATGATGCATTTTTGCAATGAAAAACATAGAAAAAAAACGTCATGACTTTTCCTACAACCCAATACAATCAGTAACAATAGTATTACTTATTTTAAACAGCTCAGTTGAAGTAGTGTTTCTCCGATTATTTCTTTCAAACTCCTATCCCTTTCTCCTATCCCTTTTTTCTACTCCTACTCCTACCCTAACCCTCAACCCTTCTCATCGTGATAACCACAACTAACTTTGAGGGTTATGCTAAAGCCACTGGAAATTTCTGAGGTTTTAACTGAATTTTTAAAAAAGATTTAATTGGGGGAAAGGAACAGCGTTGGGGAATCGCGGAACGGGAACAGACAAGTTGCTGTTCTTTTTTTGTTCTTCAATCTAGTTGTAGAGGACCCAGCTTCACTGACCCATGTGGGTATTATGATCATTGCGCTCTTCCTGGCCGAGGCAGTCGGTCGCTGGCCATTGGACGGCTGCTCACGGCAGCTCACAGGGGCTCACGGGGGCCTCACAGCAGCTCTCAACAGCTGCCAGCCGCTCATGGTAGCTCACAGCAGCCCATCTCCAGGTCGAGCTGTTGTTCACCATCTTAGCTGTAAAGGGCTCAGCGTCACTGGCCCATGTGGGAACCAAACCAGTGGCCCTGCTGCTCAGAGCTTGGGCTGCCAAGCCAACTCTTAGCCAATTGGCCCCTTGGCCAACACTCAGCTGGCCCCTTAACTGAACATTTTGTACCAAAGATTGAAAAAAAAAAAAAGGTAGGAGGCCTCATGCCTTTTAGAAGTGAAAGACTCTAGATAGTTTGGGCCTAGTTAATTTGGACATTAAAATGTTTTGCTAACCTAAATAAACCAGACAGGCGTGGGTTCTAGGCTTGCCTCCACCACTTATTCTCTTGGCATCTCGGGCCAATCTCTCTATTGTTTCAATTCTTTCATCTGTCAGGTTGAAATAAGCAACAGGGTAGTTGTGAAGATTGAATGACTTTCTTAATGCAGGTAAACTGCCTAGAATCAAGCCTAATGCATACATAGCAAGCTCTCAAACAATACAGACTTGCACCACTTAACTACTGGGGATAGCTATAGAGAAACGCATCGTTAGGCAATTTTGTCATTGTGTGAACATCATTGAGTGCATTTGCACAAACCTAGATGGTATAGCCTACTACACACCTAGGCTATGTGGTATAGCCTGTCGCTCCCAGGCTACAAGTCTGTACAGCATGTTACTGTACTGAGTACTGTAGGCTATTGTAACACAATGATAAATATTTGTGTTTCTAAACATAGAAAAGGTACAGGAAAAATACAGTATAAAAAATAAAGTGTGTGTATCTGTGCATCGTGGGCATTTTGGCAGGGTGGGGGGAGAAGCAGAGGGAGGCCTGTGGAGGGAGGCAGCCTCTGAGGGAGAGTAGACATCAGGAGCAGGGAAGGAGGAAGGGAGAGAGGGAAGGAAGGGAAGGGGAGAGGAAGAGAGAGCAGAGATGGAATGAGAACCAAGAGAAAGGTTATGATGGGAAATAATAGA